AAATATCATTTAAGCAATAACCGAACATTTTAGGTAAAAACTGCAATGCTGCTGACAGATGCAGTGATCAACTATCTCACTACAAGACTGGTCGAAGAAGGAATAATGGGTTGCATAAATATGATAATCTTATCAGATCACGGTAAAGCATTTGGACAACAGTTGCTGTATAATCAATTTCAAACCTGTAACAACTTTTTCTAATTCAACTGCATCTAATATTTCAGGCATGGAATCCTTGAACCATAGTCGTTCAGTTATCATGACACAATATATATCACAAACTATCAACCACACAGTTTTTAGCGGAGTTGTTGGCCGGGTTTATGTGCTCGACAACGGTAAGCAAATTTTTCTTTTAGTAATTTGGATCACCAACATTTATATATAATTTTAATTAAGCTTTTTACTATAGTTTGCTATGGTGATAAACATTTTACGCTACATAACGGTACTAAGAGATGCTAAAAACAATGCAGCTAAAACACAAGCTTTTTTTAATAAAAATTAATAAAAATAGGGTATTAACCTAGCGAAAAGGTCTGTAATAAAACCTTTGTAACATGTTTTATAAGCATTTCTTCTTTTATAATTTTGAAATTTTTTAATTTGTTTTTCTAAGCTTCTTGAAAGCAATAAATGTAATTTTGTCTCGGAATTGGCTGAAGAGACTAAAAGATTTGAAATTATTTGAATAAGCTGTAACGACAAGTTTTGCTTAACACGACTTTAGAAAATTACAGCATCTGTTGATACGGCTATGGCAACAATGAAGTGTAAGAATGGTACTGACTATTTGATACATAAAAGAAAGGAATATGCTTTGCCGGTGAGGTATCATTACGGCGGTTCAGCACGCGTTGGTGACGCTGTAGTTGAGGGAAGGGCTACAGTTTTTATTATGAAGTTTGTCTTTGTTTACCTTATTGCGGCAGTTTCTATTATATATTTCATTTCTTTTACAATTTCTGATAACAAGTAGTAGACGACAGCGAATTATGCGACGATAACGTTCAGTATCATAACCTTCACTGTTTGTTGATTCCCAATAATTTCAGAGATGAGGCGGAGAATAAAAAAATGTCAACTAGTTTTGGTAACCACGGTTATGATAACCGTCTTGTATCAATGCGAGCGATATTTGGTGGTATCGGTC